CCAAACCTAATTGTAGTGATATTTGTTTGTATCATTACTGTGGTTTAGGGTTTAATGATTACTATTAATTATTATTATTATTAATATTACATAATTACATATACATGTTATGAAATTTATGTAGTATAAGCATTTTAACTCTTGACACTGAGTTATGAGGTGTAATTGGTCTTTTATTACATGTTACATATGTTTTTAAATGTATATGTATATGTAATTGATGTTTGTATATGTTTTATTATATGTTACATGTGTTTTATAAGCTGTATGTACATGTAATTAGGTTTATAAGTGAAAGTTCAATATTATAAGTTAGTTTTGGGTACATGTATATGTACCCAGGGCTGACAGTACTGAACTCTCAAGACCTTGATGCCAATTTCATATGGGCTGGGTTGCACTCCCATGTCTAGAAAAGCATTTGCAAAATTCAGAACAATGTTGGGTTTTGGATTGAAAGTGAGACAGACAAACAGAGGTGAGTTTGGGTGGTCAGAGGGATGGTTGAATTTTTTTTGATGTGGTGGGAGAAATTCCACATGCCCAAAATTGACTCAATGGGTTTGTATGGTGGGGTTGGGATTGATCACCAGGTATACAACCCGTTGCAGGCCTGCTGCACTGCGCAAATCCTGTATTTGCAGGGGAAAATTTGGAAATTTGTGTCAACAGGACACAAATTTCTTGAATAGCTGTACTCGTGCTCACGGACAAAGTGAAAATTGCCGCTCTTGCAACAAGCCTTTCACCGGGGCCTGTCACAAATCTGCAAGTCCCTCATGGACGTACAAACCACCTGTGGTATGGTGGTTCTATTCAAGATGTGGCAGAATCTCTTGAGAAGAAGGAAAAAAATCCTCTTGCTTGAGACTCCTAGCCACACTTCTCTAGCCTTCTGGCCCCAAGCTTTAGTCAGGCTTTCTCTCCTCACGTGATTACTTGTCCACCCTTGGTAATGGACTATACATTACCATTGCAAGCTTAGGGGCAATCTATCATTTATTGAGTTTTGTGGTCACCCAAGAAGCATAGGCAAAGCTTGTCAGAGAAAATGTACCCATAACATACTGCTTTGTGACCAGGCTGCAATGGTTGCAGCAAGGCTTGCTGCCCTAGGTAGATGTTAGAATCCTGAGCAGGTCAAGCAGCATGTCTTGGGTTTGATTTTGATTCTTGATAGTCTGGGCTATCCTGGCAC